CCCCCGCCGCCTCTACCCCTCATCCTCCCGTCGCGGCAAATCTGTTACGAGATTTCGCCATTTTCGCCCACCTCATGGCAATGAATTTGAACGGGCCGCAGATTCCCGCGGACGTGGTGAGAACGACGATATCCGCGCACGTTGGCTTCCAAAAGAGAGACCCGGGATATGATCGCGGCGGTCAAGCGATTATCGATGAGCCGAATCGCGCTCGTATCCTAGAGATTCGTATTCAAGGTGCGACAAGTAAGAGTAAGCTTCTCTGAAAGAAGACCGTGTCCGATCGTGTCACAGCAACGTTCATCTGGCTACCGAGACATCAGGCTGATCCTAAACCAGAGACATCGTCCATTGCGGCAATCGATCATAGTGCATTGAGTTCGAGAGCTCGCGTTTTCCGAGTGTTTAGCCTCGCGGCGTATGAATTATTATCGCGACGATAATAATTCATCGTTCATTTTCCTCTCTTTTTCCGCCGTCGCCGGAGCGGGTTCTGAGATGATTCAGAACGGATGCGAGATCCTGACGCGCGGAACAAAACTGGCGAAACGCGCGTTCGAGGGTTCGTAGGCAGGAGCTCTGTTTGCGTGACGATAGGATCTACCCCACTACCCTGCACGTTACCCCTAGCAGTTGTACCTCTCCCTCCATCCGTTTTCCGCCGTCGCGGTTTAGTTTCCCCCACTTTACCCTGATTGTCGTCTCCCTTACTCTCTTTGCCGCTTGTTTCTCTCACCCCTATTCCTTGCTCACCGTGAGCGGGGTAGTTCTCGTACGACGCGCCCTTTCGTCGAATCGTCGACGAAAAGAAAGAGAGAAAAAGAAAGAAGAATGCACACGAATTGCAGTGCAATCTGCTGCAACGTCTGTGTGTGACAGACGGGGCTGAAAAGTGTAACCGAGCAATGGGATTAGAAAGGCCCGATTCGTCGGCCGCCTCGGGAATTCCTTTTCGCGGCAGCGGTTGAACGGAGTGCGCGAACGATTTCTCTTCTCGCTCCGCTTGTTTCTCCTCGGAGAGACGAGATAGCGTCCCGCGAGTGCGACGAGCTAATTTGCAATAAGGGAGAGATATTCTTCTTAGGGCAGGATATAGGTATATCTTCTTTCCGTATCTTTATCGCGATATCATGTAGAGTGCGGATTTTGCAGGTGCGTCTCGAATTCGAGTTTTTTTTATTTCTCTATCGAAATTCGTTTGTACGTGTAATTCGTTTATCGGACATTTTTGATGAAATGCGCGTTTGCTTTGACGAGGCTAGTGATAAATATTAATCTTTATAGTGCTATTTTAATTTTGAACAT